ATTTATCCTAGCGCACGTCTACTTCTCATTTACGAACACGTGAAAGTTCTGGCGAGACTTTAGATGCTGAATGAGGATGGTCTTGTCAGTGGAAGATCCCGGAGATTTAAATCCTGCTTCTCGGATATACCTATAAAAAATTTGGCTAGAAACAATTGGCTTCTTTCTAACTTGTGAACCAGTCGAAACAGAAGGCTGAAATCCTAGGGGCATGGTTTTTGCTCGCTTGAGTTTCAAAAATCAGCGTTCGGTTATGTCTGCCTTTCACGAACAGACACATGGAAGTTTTGGCAGGAAATTTTCTAACTTTGGAACCGGATAAGGAAGGAAAATATATTTTTTGAGGTGTTTTCTGTCCCTGGAAATTTAAATTTGTCTTTTGCGCATACCTGGGTTTCAGTTAAGTCTCATGTGTTCGTGTGCGATACGTACGTGAGATATGAAAGAAAATGGAAGTTGTTTTCACGTCCACTTGGTCAAACGCCACCGCTGGCTACGCTTAAAAAGCCCTTAGCTGCCTCATTTCCGAAGTTGCAAAACTAGCTACGCGAAATTTTTAAACTGTTCGTACATGAGATGCAGAGGGGCTGGAATATTGGACTTACTTTAACGGTCAGTGGTCAGAAACAGGGCTGCAAATTACTGCTCTCTACAACTTCTTGATCAGCTTAGAGCTCGAGTTGGCATGATGCTGATTTGAACTTTGGCATGTGTGCGCGTGAGACCTAGGGGAGCGTAAAGGCTGACTTTAAACTTTGGGTTGGACGTGACTAGGGAACATCTTGTGAAGTTTTAGCCTTCTAGGTTGTGCCGTTCCTGAAATCGCTTTCTCGTCAAGAAAATTTTCACTTACCTGTACTGCAGAACCACATAAATATGATGGTCCATTTTGGGGATGGAGATCCGTACATGCGTGTAGATCGTTACCAAAGTTGCAGGCTTGTAGCTTTTGTAGGTCCCGAGGTGAAAACTTAATACAGACGCGCACACGGACACACACACACACACACATAGACATGCACACAGACACAAACACACACAGACAACCCCGTAACAGTATGCGTATTTGCACTGCATGAATGCAAAAAACACATAAAAATGGTTCATATTTTTCTTGATTAACGAATATTACTGTCGAAAATTTACTGCGCGTTGTTCGGCAGTAAGCGTAGCTTGAATTGGGGCATGGGCAGTGCGCCAAGCTTACCGTGCTT